TAGAAATCGTCATAAATCTCACAAGGATAAAAAACGTAGAAGTCGTGACCGCAGCAAAAGCAGAGACATAAAGAATAAAAAAGTTGATAAAAATAAAGAAAGTGAATCTTCTGTAGAACTAGTTACTAATAATATTAAAGTGCGGAAAGATGAGGATAATAGTGATAGGGAACCAAGTTCAACTGTTGTAATAGCAACTCCACCTCGGGTGGAAGAAGAGGTTGGTCCTATATGGAAAGGTACTATTAATTTCACTGATGTTGCACGTTGTAATGTTACAATGTCTCGATTATCTGGTAATGTAATTGGATTGGAGGCAGAACTTAATTTAACAGTTCTAGAATGTGTTGGTCGTATCAAACAACAAACTGTTTGGGAGTATATGGGTAAATTGAAAAAAACTGGAACCAAAGATATTATTGTAACAAAGTTATTATCAAGTGGAATGGAACAACAAATGTCCTACCTGAGTTTATATCAATACTTAAGTGCTAAAAACCGCATAGCAGTTATTGATAGTAAGTCATTTCCAAATATAAAAGATTTTTATCTGTTTCCTCTGGGCTGTCATAGTCCTATTCCTCAAGTACTATTGCCATTAGATGGACATGGCATTGATGACTATAGAACACATTTGTTGTTGGGAATAATTGTACGAAATTCTAAAAAACATTGGGTTCCATCTTGGAAAACATGTGAAAATAATTATGTGTTACCTGATATCAATGACACTTTGGCTTTACCTCATCTTAAACCTGCTTTTCCGGCATCTAATCAAGACAATTATTCACCAAAAGAAAGTTATACACCGCCGAGATCACCAACTAACAAAATTCTCAGCTTACCAACACCCGTCTTACCAGTATCTTCAGGTAAACATTTTAAGTATTAGTAAAGGACCATAATAATAGTAGGCAGTAATTATAAGTGTGTAACACTGTAACTAAGACACTGTGATGTTTATTAAATTAATAAGTGATAACTTTTTTTTCACTTACATTATTATATGTATTTTTTTTTTTTTTTTTTTTTTAGTTTTGACTGATGATGACTTGCCTTATATACCTGGAGAAGAAGAACCATACTCACCTGTTGATGAAGATGTACCGAGCTTATCTGATGATATAAATACAACTTCAAGTATTCACCAACAAATGGAAGAGTTAACGAGGAAGATTGAAAAAGAAAAGTTAGTTATTCAAATGATGACTGCTGGTTCTCAAAATTCAGTTCTTATGGATGATAATGTAAGTATATTATAAAATTGTTTTCATAACTTTTATTTATTATTATTATACATAGTCACTAGATCCAGATGAAGAAGTCTATAGTCCTACAAGTGAACTAGCCCCATTAACATCTGAAATTCAACTGCCTAGTAATATTAAAGATATACTTTCTTCCATTAATACAAAAGAATTACTTTCAAATGAGGTAGAAAATTCTAAAACTACTGCAGATGTTGAAAAGAAGTGCAGAGATCCTCGACAACGAATTTCAACAGCTGAACCTCCACCACCTGGTTTAGAAGATGAATTTACACCTCCTCGTAATCCTGACATAAGTGTACCTCCACCCCATTTTTCACTTCCATTCAGACCACCTACAAATTATATTGCACCTATTCCATATCCTTATCCTCCACCTGGGTATATAACTGATGCTTACCCAAATCAATATGGACCTCAGCAACCACCTCCACCTCCTCCAACTATGGCCTTAGACCAAGGAAAATACAACAATTATAATCAACCTGGTTATGCATACAATACAGTACAATACAAACCACCCATTCCACCACCTTATCCAAAAACTAAAAAAGGATCAGGATTTTGGGGCCATGGTAGTTCTAAGAATGAACCAAAAAAGAAAAAATTTAAAAAATCAGGCGATCGGAGAGATAAAGGTTCTTGGAGACATATGTAGCTGTTTCCTAAATGTTTTTTATGTTCTTGGGTCATGTTTTTATTAAATTTATGTTTTATATGTACAACTTATTTTATTTATCTTGATATTGTTAAGATTTTTTTTTAAATATATTTTACACAATTTCTTATATCTAATGTAAACCTTACATGTCTATATGTTATTCATAAAAAATTGTTATAAATTTTATTGTATTTATTTATAGTTTAAATATTATAAAAATTAATAAATATAAATGTACAAAACTAATGTGAATTTGTTGTGCAGGCACGTTATAAATGGAACATAATTTTATACAAATAAAATGTATAACTTTTATACAATAAAATAACACCGACACTTAATTATGTTTTTAAACACAGTGACTTTAATTATTGATGTTAATTTTTTCAATAAAATTAGATTATGTGGACACGTGGCTTCATAACATCTTGTCATTAGATTTTATTTTTGGACAAAAAAAGACATTTCAATATATTAAATCATAATTTAACCCTTAGACATTTAGTCTATTGATGAAAACAAAATCATTTATGTTTTATTTTCATTGTCTTAATATAAGTAAGTATGTATACAATATATATAGTATTTGTAAAAACTAAACATAGACTTCTATAGGTATTGTAATAGATATGACGTAGGGTAATAATATTTTTTAGTATAATTTATGTTGCACAGTTTTATTTCATAATCTAATCTATCAAATTGTAAATATTGTATATCATTCTGTATTTCTATATTTTATATATGTTAAAATAATTTTTCATTTGCAGTGATATATCATTGAATTTAAATTTAACATATACTTTAAGCTAACTTATTCAATAACGAGGAACAATCGATACCTACTGTTCAGCAGAGTGTTTACCAACGCTCCCTGCTTTTATTGAAAAAATTTCTTATTTTTTTCCGATTTACTGCGGCTAATAGTTATTTTAGTATAAACTTGGACAAATATTCAATAATCTGTAACTAGGTAATCAAAATTTATATACTTTATGATTATAATAATACTCTTAAATTTGAATTCATTGATAAGTTATTGCAACATACCAAAACCGCTAAAACTATTCTAAGTGAACAGTCTACCTGTATTAACATCTAGATATACCAAGTATTTATTAGATGTATATTTATATAGCTATTAGCGATTTTAACTATTAGTAATTTACTAGGATAAATTAATTTTTGAAGAAAATATTGCATTTATTATGTTATTAATTACTATTATCAGTTATCAATATGAACAAATAAAAATCTGTGCACTTACCGTAGAACTATATGATTAGGTTTGGGGTATCAACAGAGATTAACTTACAAATAATAAATATAGATTTTTTTATTGAAAACTTTAATTTACAATCTGTACAAAATATGGCAAAATAAATAAATAGTTTGAAAATATAATATGAAATTAGCTTGATTGTCTTAAGGAGGGAATTGTCAGAAATAGTACCTCCTAAATAAAATGAGTTTAATTAGTTTAATTGCATATAATTAATTTATAAGCTACTGTAAGAAAAATGTACAGCAACTTTGTTCATGAAATACATTTTTTAACTTTTGCCTTAACTACTTTATACATTTTTAACTACAAAATAATTAACCCGATTTTGTGATTTGATCACTTAAAAAAAAAATTGTTTCATACATTTTCGATATTTTTAACTGCCATAAAAATAACTGATCTAGGGCTCTGTAAAATTGTCTTCAATGTTTTTGGCTATGTTTAATAATTAAATTAATTTTTATATAAAAATTTTAATGAATTTAAAAATGTCAAATGTGTACAATTAAATTTAACTGTTACTAAATATTTTAAAAATCTTGTTCATAAAAAAAATATAATTTAATTGATACTGAAATATTTAAAGTTTTTATAATTTAAAGTGTTTAAATTAAATAAAATAACAAAAAAATTATAAAAAATTGTTATTTTACGTAAAAAAGGTAAGGTAAAAAAATGATAGGATAATGGATATAACTCTGCTATATAGTAAATGTCTAGTAATTCACAATAATGGATGTGTTAAATTTGTATTCTATGATATATCATTGTGAAAGTAAAAATTAGGGTGACTAACTTTCAATTTGTATCATTAATTAGTTAATATATTTCTATTAATTAATTATTGTGATTAACATTTAAGTTAATAAAACTACTGAAATTATTTCCAAATGGTATAAAATAGATTTATAGGAAGAATAGGAAGAAAATATATCAAAATTAATCTACATATTGTACAAATTTCAAATCTATAATAAAATGTATGCTTATATATTCTTTAGATTTATGATTTAATATAAATTATTATGAGGAACATTGTATTAAATTTTAAAACCTCAGCTATAAAAATTTGATCAGCAAATAATTGAATAAAAAAATTGTTTACAAGTACTTTTTGCACAGATATCAGATCAATTTATGTAGGACCTTGTATTAAATTTTCAAGAATTTCAACAGAAGGAATAATTCTTTATCAATATTTATAGAAAAATTAAAACTAAAAAAAAAAAAATATTTTTTTCAATTTAAATTATCAGTAGTTATTTGTTTTTGAATAACAAAATATCAAAAATCGTTTGACTTTCTAACAGGTATTTAAGTTTTATATCTGAAATAAGAATATTTAACTAAAAAATAATTTCATAATTTTTGTAATAATTTTGATGAAATTCATTTAAATTTTAACATGTGATGCTTATAATTTTTCTTTTAATAGATTGGTGCATACAATTTTATGAAATTAATATGATAACAACTTATGAGGAACCTTGTGTTAAATTTTCAAAATGTTTGACAAAATAGTGGCACCTCTTTCAAGTTAGGGGTACGTCACAAACAATATAATGTTTTGATATACAAATTGTTTATTTCTCTATACATGATTATAATCTATTGTATGTACAATAAATATTATGTTTGTTAATATTAATTGACAAGGAGTTGAATTGAGGAGTTGTTAATAAAAATATATTCATAATAGAAAATTTATCTCAGGTTTTAAGATTAATGAATGGTAAAAACATTGTCTTATAAGATGGATTTATATTGAATGTACAGAAATAAAATATTTAAATTTAATATTCTGTATCTTTTATTGAGATTTTTATTTGTGTAGTACAAAAGTAAATTTAGAAAAACATAATGGAAAATGATAAAACCATAGAGGCTACATTTCTACAAATACTTAATAAATACTCATAAAAACCTAGCTACATAATTATTATAAATTAATCATTAAATATAGCTTAACATCTAGTCTTGCTGTACAAAAGGATTGGCAATTGCTTCCATACCATCAACAGGACAAATTAGAACAATCGATGTGCCTCGACAAACAACTAAACCTAATGTTCTTGTATCTTCCGTTAATTTCATAGGTTCATCAGGATCTCGTAAATACTCTAATGTATTATCCAATACAAGATTTACTAATGGATCAAATCCTTTTAAAATACCAGATACTTCTCGACCTCCAGAAAACTTAACCCTAATGGCTTTTTCTAAGTACCTAAGAAGACATAAAATATAAAATTATTATCTTGATATGTTTTTAGAAAAGTTCATGTAATTCAATTTTATTTATGATCGACTAACCTTGTTAAATCTAAAATACTTTCCTTTTTCTTTTTCTCGGGAGCTGAAGTTGCTTCTTTTCCACTCATTTTAAATAATAAATACTGTAATATGTTTATCGGTACTTGATATTTTAAAATAAGGAATTTTAAGAATTTTTTTTAAAATATTAAAATCCCTGGTAAATAATATCATATCAAAATTATTATCATAAATGCTTATAAACATAACCAATAATTGCATTAATTGTAACCGGTATACAGAAGATTCTAACATTATAACCACATTAACCACTTATTTATACCATGCTTCATGTGAGAATTTTTGTTAAAAGTTTGTACACATAACCTAAAATTAATCATTTAAAATTACTTAATTTAATATTTACTATTTACGTAGTTCTTAGTTCTTACTTTTTACTTATGAATTCACGATATTAATATATTTTACTATAACTTTTTTTTTCAAAATTTAGTTAAAGCTAATTATATTTTTTGTAATTTTAATGATTTTATAAAACTGACAAAATGAGTGACGACAAATGTAAATATTTATCTAATCTAATTTGAGAGTAAGTGGTTTTTATATTTTTTTTTTATTCACAGCACTTCCAGGTTCCAGTTTGGAGTTGAAAATAATGGCTGAAGATAGAAAATTTTCCAGTCTAGAAGGCCATGTATGTGAAAATACATTAAAAGGGATAGAGGACATGGGATTTACAGTAATGACTGAAATTCAAGCCAAAACTATACCGCCATTGTTGGAGGGACGTGATTTAGTTGGAGCTGCCAAAACTGGCAGTGGGAAAACATTGGCTTTTTTAATACCCGCTGTAGAATTGATTTACAAACTTAAGTTCATGCCCAGAAATGGTACTGGTTGTATAATTATATCTCCTACCAGAGAATTATCAATGCAAACTTATGGTGTATTAAAAGAATTGATGAAACACCATCATCACACCTATGGCCTTATGATGGGAGGTGCAAATAGGCAAACTGAAGCTAATAAATTGTCTAAAGGTAATTATTTTAGAATATTTTAATTTTATTAATCAAGATAGATCAGTAAATTATTTATTTTCTTTGGCTCACATGCAACAGAAAATTTTGCTTCACCAGAACCAATCATCTGTTAGTTATAATATTAAGTTAAATGATTTGTCAAGTATTGTAAATGTATTTTGTACATTAGATTTTTACAAAATTACACAATTATTTTAATTATTAAAATTTTAACAAATAACCAAATTTATTTTTTTTAACTGATCATTTTTTATATGAATCTCCTTCAAAATTGCTGATTAGAACATTTTTTTTACAATGTAAAGTATTGTCAGATTCAAAAATAAGTTTAAAAAAATCCCCATTGTTAAATTAATACATTTTATGAATAGAACCTTGTAAGAACATATAATTGAAAAATTGCTGGGTTATCAAAAAGTTAGACTTTATATATACTTTGACATACATAGTTCATGTAATTTAATTTTAATTTAATACCACTATAACAATAAAATCAAGGGTTGTTAAACTTGAAATTTACTGTACAACAAAGCAATTGACTACTCGCCTACTTTTATTTATGTAAAACACAATTTAAAAATACTTGTATATTGTATACAAATTGAGAGTTTATTAAAAATGGATAATATTCTTACCTTTTGAATTAATAATTGGTCGAATCACTGTAGTATTACAGCTAAAGATTAATGGTTCTCTTTGACGCAATTTTGGTACAGTGACACCTATTACTATGTATCAATATTGTAGATGCAATACCTAATTTATTTTTATAGTAATACGGTGGACGTTTGTAGTCCATTAGATATATTTATACAAGTTTTAGATAATATGATATTAATATATACATTTTAGCTTGTATTTTAATGTAACAATTTCACTGTTTACTGGTACTTTCTATTTTTGAATTTTATTTTTATGAAATACTGTTAGAAACTGACATCATCATGATAGCACCAATGATTTGGTAAGTCTTGAAATGTACTGATATCCTCTTCAAATAATATAACCATGTAATACAATAATTAATAAACCTTTCATTTTTTAACTATAATTATTAATTTCTGACACTAACTATATTTTAGTATGTATGATTGTTGTGTAGAATGAGTGGTTAATACATTTTCATAGAAAATAAAAAAATGTTAATTAAATATTTCTCTAGTTCTTAATATATATGCTATCAATAGTTTTATAGAGCAAGTAACACTGTTTCATATTTTATGATAAATCATAACATTATGATCTATTTTAATCAAAAATGTTAACTTAATTAATAATTATTATTATTTCTTATATATCTGATATCACATATTGAAAAAATTTTATAACTAAGAAAACTCATCTAAAAACGTTTAATTTTAGGCATAAATATAGTTGTAGCCACTCCTGGAAGATTATTAGATCACTTACAAAATTCTCCTGATTTTCTTTATAAAAATCTTCAATGTCTCATTATTGATGAAGCTGATCGTATTTTGGATATTGGATTTGAGGAAGAAATAAAACAGATAATAAATTTATTACCTAGTAAGTTTTCTTAAAATAATATTAATTTTTATTAATTTATTATAATTTATAACCTATATGTGTTTAGAACGAAGACAAACAATGCTATTCAGTGCTACTAAAACACCTAAAACGGATGCACTGACTACATTTGCATTGAAAAAAGAACCAATTTATATTGGAGTAGATGACAGTAAAGACGAAGCTACGGTTGAAGGTTTAGAACAAGGATATGTTGTATGTCCATCTGAAAAACGATTTTTATTGTTATTTACATTTTTAAAAAAAAATAGAAAGAAGAAAGTTATGGTATTCTTTAGCTCATGTTTGGCAGTCAAATATTTTCATGAATTATTAAATTACATAGATTTGCCTGTTATGTGCATACACGTAAGATTTTTTTTATTTAAATTATTATTTCAAATGTGTTATGTTATAACTTTGTTTCATTATGATATAGGGTAAACAAAAACAAGAAAGACGAACAACTACATTTTTCCAGTTTTGTAATGCAGAAACTGGTATATTGTTATGTACCGATGTTGCTGCTAGAGGATTGGATATTCCATTAGTCGATTGGATTGTTCAATTTGATCCCCCTGATGATCCCAAAGTAAGTATTTTTAATTGACTATAATATTATTATTTAATAATTATTATATGCACTTTTAGGAATATATTCATCGTGTGGGACGTACAGCTCGAGGTGAAGGTAGCAGTGGACATGCTTTATTAATTTTACGCCCTGAAGAATTAGGATTTTTACAATATTTAAAAAAAGCAAAAGTGCCATTAAATGAATTTGATTTTTCATGGAATAAAATATCAGATATACAACTACAACTTGAAAAACTTGTAGCTAAAAATTATTTCTTGCATATATCTGCAAAAGAAGCATTTAAGTCATATGTCCGTGCTTATGATTCACACCATCTAAAACAAATATTTGATGTTGGAACTTTGGATATTACAAAAGTCGCAGCTTCGTTTGGATTTACTACACCTCCAGCTGTTGAATTAAACGCAAAAGCAGTTCGTCCTCGAAAACGACATGGTGGTGGGGGTTTGGGAAAATTCAATAATATGAATAAAGGTGATAAAAAAGTATATAAATTTGTACAACCTCCAGAAAAAAAGAAAAAAAGAAATAAATGATAGATATTGATTTTTTTTGTACACTATTATTTTTTATTAAAATTTGTTTACACCATTTATTTTATTTATTTATTTGAAAATTTAAACCCACATCTAAAGCTCTAGTAAATTACTTAATTAAATTGTTAAAATTAAATATAAACATTAAACATAATAGTTATATGTTAAATTTATTATTTAAATTTACAATTAAAATGTAAATTATTAATTAAAAGAAACATTTACTTGAACTTAGAAGATATGATCAATTTATTTATATTAAATATATTTATCTATTAGAAGTACAGTCTGATCCATTTAATGGGAAAATTCTTCACCTACTTTCATCGCAGTGATTTAGACGTCTATATAATCTAATGAGGTATTATTTTTTCAGTATTTAGCTTCCAGTATATACTTTATTTATTATTTTTTAAATGGGATATCGAATTTACGTTTATAATATTTTTGATTTTTTTAACCCCCAATCTTTTAAAATTAAAATTTTGTAATTATCGTTTTACTTAAACGACAGTATTTTTAAATAGCTTAAATAAACTTAATCGTTTTTATTGCATCATACCTTATTACCATTGTGTTATATACCACAAAACGTTATAAACATAACTCACAAGAGATAATAATTATACTGTAGGTAGTATACTGATATGTAAGGAGTAAGGACCTAGGTACATAATGTACCTTACATCTATAATATATTTGACTATTTATATATGATAATATAATAATATATATAATATTATATAATATACTAATATGTAATATTTATCAAGAAAATACTTTTAAAAAATAACTATTATTATAGTTTTATATATATATTTTTTTTATTTTGCAATGTGTACAGTGGTTTTTATGTACAATTTTGAACATTGTATTTTACATAGCCTAACGGTTCCCTGCAAATACAAATTTGCAGTGCCTAAAATTATTAATTAATTTAGTTTTTGTTACAATACTTCAATCGTTATTTTACTATCTAATTATAATACTTCCTCCAAGCTTCTACTTAATCTTTAAATCGTATCTAGAAGACAGGCAATTTTCCGTACAATATGGCTCAGCCCTATCTGACATATCAATAATTAGAACTGGAGTACCGCAAGAAGCTGTAGCGGCACCTCTCTTGTTCAATCTGTACACATCAGATCAACCCACCACCATCCTTACCACCACTGGTGACGACTTCGCTGATGATAAAGCTATCCTGGCCCTCCACTATGACCCTCTCGAGGCATCCAACATAATCCAAACCCACCTCGACGTGGTACAAAGAATGGGGATTCAAACTCAACGAATCCAAATCTAAACACTGCACATTCACTCTCAGACCAATAAGCTGCCCCTCTATCACACTCAACAATCAACCTCTCCCGACCGCTCAAAATGTGCGTTACCTAGGCTTATACCTAGATCGCCGGCTCACGTGGGCTATCCACATACGTAACAAACGACTGGTACTCAATAATCGCCAAAGACAGCTTCGCCTCCTCCTCTCTTCCAAACACGTCTCATTAAATAATAAAATCCTTATGTATAAGGTACTCCTCAAACCTATCTGGTCCTATGGAGTTCAACTCTGGGGATCAGCCAAAAACTCCAACATAAGCCGAATCCAAACCTTCCAATCAAAATGCCTACGATAAATAACCCAAGCCCCCTTTTATGTGTCGAATGACACCTTACATAGGGACCTCCTCATTCCAACAGTAAAAAACGTCGCCAAAACCTAATACAAGCGTTACCACCTCAAACTTGCTAATCACCGTAACTCTCTCATCCAAAACCTCTTCATGTACAATTCCAAGCGACTCTACCCGTCGTTTAAAACGTAGTTGGTGTCGTGATCTTTTAGTGGACTAATTTACTAGCTTCTTTCTCGCCATGAAGTGCTATTATTGAATAACTCCTTCAACCAAGCCAACCATGACCTATTGTAACCCTCCATTGTGCTTATTGTAAATATTTTTGTTACAGATTGTATAAATTAAAATAAATATATTAGAAAAAAAAAATTATAATACTTAAAATACGTGAAAATATTATCTAACTTAAGTACTTCACTGAACGTTTACTATCTATACTTATTTATAATTTTTAAGAAATTAAACAAAATATGAATCATTAAAATATTTATGTATATTACTTATAGAAATTTTGGGCCAAACACGTAAAATTGTCTAGTTGTAGGTATTTAAGAAATTATAGGTAGATACGCGATATTATAAAAATAATATTTAATTATTCATAATTGTAAATTGTATTAAAATGACTAATGAGTAATAAACAAAAAAATGTTGTCATATTATTACGTTTATTTTTGTTTAATAGATGGATATCCTCATAATTATATACATAAATCTCCACCTCGTTATCCGTTTTATATAGGTAGGTACTATACTAGTCTAGGAATAGAATAAAAGGGAATACCTATGTTAATATTTAAAAAAAAAACTTTAAAACGTAATAGGATACAGGAAAAAACACCATCTCATTTACAGCATAATATATTATAATAGTAGCAATATAATATTTTATTTTTGGAAAAGAAACAAAATATCGTATTCAGCATTCCACTTAGGTACCTACCTACTTTTTATGTATATTATATGTTTAAATAACTATAATAAGTAATATTACGATTTACGAATAGTAATCATAATATAGTCATTAGTCATTACTAAAATGACTTTATGAAGAACTTTGTCTTCAATTTTTAAGCTATATGACTAACCAATTATGTTTTCATCAACATTTATATAATAAATGGAAAATTTTTATTTCTCTAAATTATAGCTATGTCCTATAACAACTTAGCGCAAACATTGATAACATGGATTTTATCTTGTAGTGTTTTTGTTTTACCTATCACTCTATGAATATTTTAGATAAAAGTGATATAACACACTATTATTATAGTTTACACAGTCACACAAGACTTCTATACTTCTATAAAGAAATCTGTGGTTGTATAATATTAATATACCAAACGGGAAACATAATATTATCACAAAATAATCTATGATGATGAACCATATTATGATGAACACCAAGGTGGATATATCCACCTTGATAAACACAACAATAAAATCCCGCCATTTTCATGTTATCATTTCGAGTTATGACTTAAAGTATTAAAATTATTAAATACTGTAGTCTGTAATCGTTTTCTTTAAATGTTCTACATTTTGTACTAAATAATAAATATAATTCTTTATTTTTATCGCATGCATCATGAAATAGATCTATTTTGTTGTGAATTGTGATTGTAACCTGTAGTTAACAAAATATTAAAGTACAATCTCGAATTTTGATACGCTGATACTTTGATCCTGTATTTTAAATAATTCTGTTTGGTTATATATTTTCTACAATAATTTATTGCTAATTCAATTCTTTAGAAATTGGAGCACTGATCTGTGATAAATCGTTAAACGTGATAGATATTATATTTATTTACGATTGTATGTTAGTAATACTTTTATTTGTTTCTAATTAATTTTTTTTAATTGTATTTATTTTGTATCATTATTTGTTATTACAGTAATTCAAATCCTTATTTTTTACTAAATTGGAAATAAGTATGTATAAAAGAAAGTTTCCAAAAACTGTGGTTGAAAATGCTTCGTCACAGTTGCATAAAAAGTCTACAATTTCTTCTTTGGATGGTAGCACACCAAGTATGTCTCTTACATGCACTAGCACTAGTTTGAACGATAAATCGCCAGAATCGCCATCAATATTGGATGATTTTGATCATTTTCCTGTCGTTAATAATATAAATACTATAGATGATAATGATGTGGATGATATGACAGATTGTTCAGAACCTTTATTTAATGACAACAATGATGTTTATTCTTATTTAAAACAAACATTGATGAGTTGTGGCTTACATTTAAAAAATGATCAAAATATTTTGTGTAAGTCAGTTACCAACTTTATGTAATATATGAATTCATAGATACTAATTTTATATTAAACATATTGTGTCAATGGTTTTAATTTATTTTCAGCCGTTAAAGAGAACAAATTCTTGCAAAATATTAAATCCAAATTATCTAATGACTCTGAAGAAATTGGTGAAATTGATGTTGTTAATAAGTTTTTTAAAGAGTTTGAAGCATATCACAGTGATAAAATAAATCTTAAAATAGCTCTTTCTCCATATAAAGTAATATTTGGAAAACTGTTTTTTGGAATTATAAATTTATAAAATATTTTTATATTTAGACTATTCCAGAAAATAAATTTCAACAACAAAGAGATACTTTAGCTCGTCTTTTACTTCAAGTGCCTCAACTTCAATCAATTATGATTGATTTTTTATTCGATAAAATGGCTGAAATAACTTTAGAAGATACAACGTAAATAACATTAACTATTATTTTAATATTTATTTAATTAATTATGAACAACTATAGTTTCACTTGTAATTTGAATTTTAGTGATAATTCAGTTTTTCCAGTACAAAAATGGATACGACTATTGATTAGGCCATTTAAATATCTTTATACTGTATTAGATTTGAGAAAAACTTGCAATAAATTATTTGACAGTCTGTATGTCATGTCTGATGTTGACATAAAAAGGGAGCTTATTTTATCAATTCCAGATATAGTACTTGATAGTGAGGATCACGATGCACTTGATGAGTTATGGTAAAAATAATAAATTTGTTATATTCAAATTTCAAAGTAATTTTTATGTTTTATTATTCATTTTAGCAAACTTCTTAGAAATGACAAAGAATTAATGGCCACTATTTTGGAGACCATTAATCAATTAAACATCAGCAAAGATGAATTATCATTAATTCAAATAGATATGATACCTGTTATTCATCATACTCCACCAGATATACTACCAGCATTGGTCAGATTTTTAATTAAAGTATATGATCGTGCTGTAGCCGAAAGAGTAAGTATTTATTTTTCAAAGTCATACAGTACTTTAAAGTATAATTCAATTCTATTCTTACTATTTATATGGCAGATTGTGAATGGTTTAAGATCAGAACTTCCATTTTCAACGCCAGAAAGTATTTCACAAATTTCAACAACTGATAATTTATTGAGCATACAACTTATAATTTTCAATTGTATACATGATAAGTTTTTGTCATGCAAATTATTATTGGAGGTTTGGATAAAGACAATAAGTCAAATACAATCCCATGCAGAACACATGTAAATTAATATAAAATATAAATATATATATATATATATATATTTTAAATATATTGAATCCAAAATATTAGCTTTAAAATTAACATGATTTTAAGTGTTACTTAATATATATTTTTATTAATTTATCTTTATTATATTTTAGACCATTAGATGTTGTTATTATGTTTTTGGCATATTCAGCATCGTTTAATGTTCATTCAATGAAAAATACTGTTTTGTCAATTTTTAAAGAACGCTTAAAGAATGGATTTATTCGCTCAGAAATTATTGTGAAGACTTTTCAAACATTTACTCCAGTTAGTCATTCATGATATTATTATGATAGATTAACAAAATTAAATTAATTTAGACGTACCTGTTTTATTATAATTGAAGGTATTCAAACAGTATTTTGAAATGTTCATTGATTTATTTTCCAATCTTCTTAAAGCTACTGACCACGTTTCTATTGAAATTGTATCTAGTATGATAGTGTAAGTATATAATGTTCTTAAGAAAAACCAAATGCATTAACAGATTTGTTAATTTTTATTTAATTATGTATTTACGTTTTCAGTAACTGTTTTGATAATATTGATCAATGTTGGTGTAAATGGATTGTGGATGAACTTCTTGTTTTATTGGGAACAGGTAACAAGTTAACTATCGAAAATGTATTAAATATACTAACTGAATTAACTGAAAAAAGGATTGATAAAATTCAACCATTAGCTACTCGTTTAATGGTAATAATTATGAATTAATATTAGTCAAAATAATTTGAATGCAATCTGTATGTTATTGATTTTATTTTATCTTTTGGGCAGTATGTTTTTATGAATAAAGTGCACGATTTTTCTACAAAAGACATAGCTCAAGTCTTAGACATGTTGTGTAAAATTGCTTACTCAGAAGGCCCTGACGGAATTAACAACTGTTCAGTATTCCAAGATGAGATAAATATATTTGTACAAAAAGAACTTTGTTCCCTTAACATTGTGTAAAATTATTTATATTTTTCCAATTTTTTTTTTTTTTGTATTTATTTATAAAAATTTTTTCTGTTTAATGTGTTATTTTAGATCTCAAAGGGTTGGAATCATTGGTGCAATTATGTTAATAAAACACATAGTTCTATTGTCTCCTGATGAAGAAAATATCTTAATTGATAGGGCTAATGATGATATTTTACTTACTAAAAAAGCAAAAGAAGCTTATTCCCTTATAGGTAATTTATTAATATAATAATAGGTTTAATTTAATTTTGAAACATCTTCACCATCATTTTTTGTTATAGAATTATTAGTCACAAGAACCCAATCAGATACAGATTCTCAAATTTTATTTTTTGATCAATTTTCACTTATGTTATTTCATGGTCTTCCCTTTGATAAAACTTTTATGGTAATTTTTTTTTTTATTACAGCTATTGATTTTTAGAGTATTGTAGTTTAAAATGATTTATCACTAAAATTTGGTTGTTGTTTTTTAGTATGCTGTATCTTCAGTTATGAAAAAAAATTTTCAATACAGTTTTTTGATTGCTGCTAACGATTTTAATAATGAGTGAGTATTAATTTTGATTTAAATATATAATATTGAATATATTTTATAAATTAAAGTTATTCAAATAAATCTATATGTTTATATCGTAAAACACGCGCCCTTCAGCTCATTTTTTTGTGACCTGTGGCTACCAATATTAAGGGACAAAAAAAAAATAATAAAATATTAATGCCATGTCACAACTATCTTGAATTCTTAGAGAATTATTTATTTAGTATACTATAAACATTATTATACTGTCTTATTTTTTGATAAGCTAACCTTTATTAATTTATTTGTATCTACCGTGTTCATAAACATAAAGAATAAAATTGAAAAATTTGTATAAAATGTTTATTTTCTTATTAAATTTTTATATGCGGTATATTAAACTATTCAATATATTTGGCCCACTTGATACTTTGAGTTAGAAATGCCTGTCATAAAATATAGTCAAATCATTTATCTAAATGTCTAGATAGATAGAATAATTGCATAAAAACTAAATTCTTCAACTATTGTTTAGGCATTTAAAAAAAGATTGATTTGACTATATGTCTACAACATATATAAATGAAAATTAATAGTTTATATTGTATATTTGTTATTTATAAATATATTTCAGGAAATTGTTACTTCATTATTGGTTATAATTAAAATTATTTTATTAATATAACATTTAATTTTATAGAAACTATTTAGTTGACTGTTCTTTAACATTTTGCCTTGACAAAGAACTTGATGAGATTATTGCTGTCAATTTATGTCCTAAAGTCATTGGTGAAATGAAAAAACTTGATAATGCAATAGTGATGGGTTTACAAAGTTGCCATTCAAATGCTTTAACATCAATGTTTCGTTTAGTCAGAGGTTTGGAGCGTGAAGATTTAACTGAAATTGATGCATTATTAGGATGTCCACTTGTAATGCCTACTAGTAAAACTATTGATGAATTTGAAATGTTATCTCCAGAACAACAAAGTGTTGTAGTCCATACACTTTTTCATGCTGTCAATTGGTTTCATGAAGTTATTAATTGTTTTTCTTATTTAATTAAACAAAAAAATGGTGACAAAGTAAATTTATTATTAGTTGTATCTTAAGTATAAACTTAATTATGGAGATTAATTTTTTTTTTTTTTTTAAGGTACTTATTAGATTAAGAACTATAATATATTTAATTAAAACAATAAAAAAATGTTTATCGGTTATGTATGAACCCGAATACATTCCCCCTTTTTGTTATTATGGATTGAATGTAGAAAAGCCAAACTTTAATAAAAATAAAAAGTACGTTAAAAAAATAGGATACAATTTTTTAATTATTACATAAATAATTATTTGTTTAGAAAATCATTAAAACCTAAGAAGAAAAATACTAATGCAAAAGGAAAGAAAACAGTAAATGAAAAAAAAAATGTTTCTCTAGAATCAACAAATTCATCAAATTTTAATATTACAAATTTAGTAGAAGATGAAAATGATGATGACGTTTTAGAAAATGAAGTGGATCTTAGTATTTATAATCATTATTTTCGTGAACTTGATATTGATACTTGGCTTATACTGACACAAAAGTTTGTAATTAATCCTGAATCTGAACAGGTTTGTTAAAAAAAAATCTAAAACTTTGAAATATAGCTCTATAAGAAAGTATTAAATTTAAGTATTTTAAATAATTTATTGAATTTTAGATAGTTTAATATTTAATATAATATGAAATATTGTCAAATAAACTGTATTTTATTTATTTTGACAATAAATTATCGCTCTATATCTACAATATCACATAATTTAATAGTCTAACTTATGTATATTATATTTATAATATTATCTACAACTAGATTTTAAAACTATAAATTAATAAATATTTATAAATTAAATTGTAATTGTAAATTTTAATAAAACTTTACATTAGCAAGAAGTGTATTTAGAGTTACTGATAAAATAGATATATAGTTAACCATAGCTTAATAAGCTTAGTTGGAGGGCTCAATCCCTAGATTACTTTAAGGAATTGGTATGATCAATATTTTTATATACTAAATATACTAGTCAGCTTAAAATATGATTTATACCTTATTATTTTCTAATTTATAGTAATTTAAAATTATTTATTCTACCTTTTCATTATACATTACAATATATTTTTAAATAGTAAAATAAACAATTAGACTAGTTGTTAATTGTAAAACACAATAAAATTTACACAATTTAAATAGCTATTGGCTTGATTTTACATCACTTTATTTTTTATTTAGCTAGCTTGTTATTTAGAATTACATTAATTTTACTTGAATTATTTTTAGAATGAAGAATTTACACCTGAATTAGGTCCCTCAGAGTTGCGTTATTTAATGGAAGATGTATTACAAAAATTGGAGCATGTTGTTTTTAAAAACAAAAAGATGAGTCCATTGGTTAAAATTAAATCTAAAGATATCATTGGATTTAGTAGTGTTTCTTTAGTACCTACTAAAACAATACTTAGAAATTTTATTAAACTTCTTCCATACTTATTTACTGATTTAGAAATTCTTTCAGAATTTTTTAAGGTAACTTAAGTTAAATATGATGTAAAAAAAATGAATCTAAAAATTAAATTTATTCTTTAGAATTTATTGATGTCAAATGACAATATACTAGATGCCTCTGGAATGTTTATGCCAGAGTTTTGTGATATGAAACATTGTGTTGGATTAATTTTGAAATCTTTAGTGGTATTATTCCAATGGAATGATTTTGAATCTTCAAACACAGATGATCTTTTCAAAAGTAAGATTATTTTATATCAATATTGAAAAATATTTATGTCATTAAATAATTGTATCGTAATTTATAACTTTTGTGATCTATATTTTATTTCAGTGTTACTATTATGAAAAAAAATATTATGTATCGCATGATATTTAAAATTGTAATTTATCTCTTATTTCATGCTGTATATTAAAATATATAAAAAATAACTTTTTGTAATTAAATTCTTATTGTATCAAAAAACACTATTATTATACCTTTACTTCTAAGTTTTTAATAATCAACATTTGGGTCTTAGTTATGTATACTTTATATTTATAATTTATATAATATACAATTTCATGACTAGAAATAAATTGTATATGGGCTTTAAATTTATAATTAGCTTAACTTTTTTTTTTTTTTAATGTGATATTTTAATCCTCAAGTCACTAGTTTAAATTTAAAAAAAACTAATATTTTAATTCTTTATTTATGCAAACATTTATATTCCAAAATTATTTTAGATGCCTTGAAAAAAATAACAAACAGAACTGATTTGAGCAGCCAGAGTACACAATTTAAACAACCATTATGCAAAAAAAGATTGATCTCAGATAAAATAAAATATCTAAAAGAGTTTCAAAATATTATACTACATTTAGATGCTGCTGTTAGTTTAGTTAGCATTATACAAATCTTGAAAAATTTTACAGATGAACCAGAAAATGATGTTGTTTTAAGTAATTAATAATATTATATTTTAGACAATTTTTTTTATTATTTTTTTACTTATTTTTACTTTTATTTTCCAGGAGATACTTGTTGGAATTTTTTAACTCGGCAATGGTATTCAATGAACGGTTTAGAAGAAAATGGTCAAAAGTACAATGATCAAATTAAATCTTTACTTGAAATATATTTGCAATGTCATACTGATAAACTAAAAAAATTGGTGGAAATGGTCGATTGGTTGGAAGTAGAAGTTGTAGGTATGGAAACAAAGACTGATAAACTAAAAACTTTGCCAACAATTAAAAAGTAAGTTAATTTAATTAAAACCAATGTATTATCCTTAATTACTTTATTTGTATCTAGAATAAATTTTAAGATTTTAATCAAAGTTGTACTATACACTTTGTTAGAATCTGTTAAAAATGATTTGAAAACTGCTGAAAGTGAATTGGAGCGACTCATTGTTTGGCAATCAGCAATTTATGTGATGGAAAAAATAGTACAAATTATAAAAAAACAAGATTCAAGGGATAATCTTCTAATATTTGTTAAAGTAATATAATTAATGATTATTTTAATGATATTTGTTTATGATAATTAAAGTTAAAATTTACAGGGTTCTGTATTATTATTAAAACTGTTCTTAGCTGAAGGTATGACTGTATGTCAAAATTTATTTAAAGTTCGTACTAAAGAAGTGTCAAAGGTTTTAAAAAACCTTCAAGTTATCACAAGATACATACAAAATATTTGCAATTACACAAAAGTTAGATTTTTTCGATTTATCGATTGAAACATATTTTTATTATGTTATTAATTTCAGGTGATTAAAGATAATGCACTGAGTAATTGCTTACCAAATATAAGAGGTATTTTAGAAGCTCTGATATTGAAAGTGAAAAATGTTATTGTTATGAATGGTTGTACTGATGCATTGTTTATGGGCATTATGAAAAACATGGACATAAAAGGAGATGAAATAACGTCACAGGTACATTTGTCAAATTTGTGTATAATATATTAATAAGTATTATAATTATTTTTTTCATGTATTTTTAGAATGATAGCTCAAATGATAGTGATGGTGAAGATGATGATGATGATGATGATGATGATGATGATAATGAAAATGATAGGGCTGAAGCAAATTATTTAATTCAACTTCTGGGCAACGATAAATCATCAAATGATGAAGATGAAGATGAAGATGAAGATAATAATTCATCAATATTATAATTTATTTATGAGTTTTGACATTATTTATATTTTCATATTTTAACTATGTTAAGATTTTTTCTATGTAAATAAATGTAAAATTTAATTTTCTTATAATAAAATAATTGCTTAGTTTCTAAACCAATATATTTTTTTCATTCTCCCTTCACTCCCATTTAAATGTTTGATCAATACTTAAGTAAAATAATTATATTCTGAGTGTCAGTATTTCTTTTAAAATGTCTCATGAAACATCTCAAAACACGTAGTAAGTTAATCAAATAATCACTAATATTTTATTTGATTTTTTTGTTGATTGTATTTTTTTTATAATTTAGTGACATTATATGTAAAGAACGTTTGAAATCATCAAAACGTAAATATCTAGATTTAATTTTTAAAGAAATTGATGATTTGATTTTAAATCAAAACTCTGCCATTGAAGGAGTAAAATTTCAAAGGTTTTTCGAAGACCGATTCCCGTATGAAGAATTTATGATTAACTCATTGTCAGACAAACAACGTGACCGGCTAAGAAACATGTTTGATGATCGAAAACCCTTTGCATGACAAAACAATCAAATAGAATAATATATATTATTTATGAATAATTTTAACTGTTCTAGGCAGAACAACATCTTAAACAACATTAATGAAAATATAAAAAGCTATCTACCCATAGTAACTATCACTAGTGGTGGTCAGTGAGTGTCAAAGTAAAATTAATATAATAACAAATGACAATTTACATTATTTTAAATAACAAGTAATACATTGTATGCTTTCGAGTGAGTAAAGTACATTTTATAAAAATTTATAGTTAGACTAAAAGTGTTAAACATTTTACGTGTATATTATAAGTAGTTTAAAAAACCATAATATTTTTAAAACAATAGCATGTATAGAAATTATAATTTTTCTGAAATTCTCTAGTTAATGGTTATTGGTATTAGAATGGCAACAAAATAAGAAAATCGATTACTGTCGATAATTGGTTTTCCATAAAAGTTCCAGTTGTTTTCCTTTTTATTAATAAAAATACTTAAAACCCACCAAAATATCAACTAGATTCACTTGCCTTTCAGAAATTTTAAAGAAATTGAAAATTTAAGCATTTTTACTGCTCCTATAGATAGACAAAAAAAAACACGCATTGTAAAATCAATATTTGTAAATTAATATTTCCAAGTATAATAAACTGAATTTTGATCCTTGCGAGCACCGCCCGTTAAACTTATTTTCAGAAAATGACCCTGCGACTTAATTTTTATTTCCATAATATAATAAAATAGTTGTATCACATGCCCGGTGAGTGTGCTACACAACTACTGCAATACGTACTAAACTACCAAATGGTAAAATACTGTATCGTACTATCGTGTGAGTGTGTGATCCACCAGGCATTGTTCATTGGTATAACATTGTATAAATTATAAAATACTTTCCTCCCTATCCCAGCGACCCTACCAGACCCATATAGAATATACTGTAAACTCAGTACTTAAAGTTTAACATATATATGAACGCCTTCCATAACTGTGTCACGAAGCATGCGCATTTCACTTACCATTATTGATTTTTAAGCATTCATTGATAACAACGTTGATAGTGAATTGGTGTTAAATGTTTATTAGTTATTATAATTGACTACACGGATTTTACTGATTCCCAGTATTTCCACGTTCACTATTATATTATATATTTAATATTCGTGTCCAATCAAACAGAAATATTCGAGTCGTCTGGTAGAGGTGTCCTACTAATGTAATTTTATTTATCAAAAGTTCACTTACTCAGTCACTGCAAAAAAATGGTGGTAAGTCTTAGGGTTTAACTGTTTTGAGTGATTATCGCTAACTTTGTACAAGCCAACAAAGTGTCTATTGTTCTACTATTTTTATATAGGTTTACAGGGCAATCAAATGTTTGGCAGACGATTGGGCTCTTACAAATTGTGCAGTGATTAATGATGAAGACTTTAAAGACGATACAAAGTATGTGAAAATTAATCATATCAATGTTATTGTTTAAACAACTATAATAAATATATATTTAGATACATAGAGGTCCAACATCAATTCAAACCAGATCTTAAGTTTTGGTTTACAACATTGTTTGTGAAAAATCCTCCTCCACGAGGAAGCATAGCTTTTTCTGTGAATCAACGAGAATGGGCCAACCTGTCTATCAATCAGCCAATCAGTATTACTTCTTATCCAGGTAATACTCCTTTTGACTTTTTGTGTTCAGTTGAAGCTGAAATTGACTATCTTCAAAAGAATAAGTAAGTATATTATTGTGTATTTATAAAAAAAGTTAGTAATATAATATATAAATATATGTATATAATAGGTCTAAAAATACTAATGAACAGTTTGATACTGACATGATGGCTAAAGAGTTTTTAATAAACTTCACAAATCACGTTTTATCTGTCGGTCAAACATTATTATTTCAATTACCAGATAAACCATTGATGATAATTAAGATCAAAAGCATTGAAGGTAAATATTTAATGTTCATTGAAATTGAACGATTTGTTCAATTTAGATCTTTATATTAATACAATATGATATCTTCTTAACTTTGTCATTTTGAATATTAGTTGATTAACTTTTAAAATAGTAATGTATACAATTTTTTATTTTAGATTTACTATAAATTTCAAAGATTTAATTAAAAAATCTCTGTTTTGTAGTTTTAAAATAATATAATTATTTTGATTCAAAAATAATTTTAACATTGTCCAAAAAAAAAATATATTACAATAATTGAGACAGATATAAAAAAAAAATTTAAAGTGTTATAAAAAATATACGATATACATTTTTAGGTGTAAACTCTCAAGAAATCAATTCTGGAGGAGTACCCCGGTCTATTCAATATGGGAAATGTTTGAGCAATACAGCCGTACGATTTGTTGTAGGCCCTAATTCTACATTGATGTTGGTAGGAAAGTCAAAATGGTAAATTGATTTTTCTTATTAATATTGAATTTTCCTACTTTCTGATTATAATGTTGCTTATTATTTATAGTCAACAAGCACGTGTATCAATAATTAATCCAGATTTTGACTTCAACAAAATGGGAATTGGTGGTTTAGATACAGAGTTTAATGCTATTTTTAGAAGAGCATTTGCATCTAGAGTATTTCCACAAGAGATTATTGAACAACTTGGTAAAATCAATTAAAATTGAAAATGCTTCATTTTAAAATTAGCTAAATATACTTTTCATTAATTTAGGGTGCAAACACGTCAAAGGTATTTTGCTTTTTGGTCCACCTGGAACTGGTAAAACGTTGATGGCTAGACAAATTGGACAGATGTTAAATGCACGTGAACCCAAAATTGTTAATGGCCCTCAAATTTTGGACAAATATGTGGGTGAATCTGAAGCAAATATAAGAAGGTTATTCGCAGATGCTGAAGAAGAAGAAAAGAGGGTATTTTGGATTATTAATTTAATAAAGATTAGTTCTTATTTTTATATTTTCATTTTAGTCTGGTTCGGCTAGTGGCTTACATATAATCATCTTTGACGAAATTGATGCTATTTGTAAAGCAAGAGGTTCTGTTGGAGGAAATACAGGAGTACACGATACTGTTGTTAATCAATTGTTAGCTAAAATTGATGGAGTTGAGCAACTAAATAATATCTTAGTTATAGGTATGACTAATAGAAGAGATATGATTGATGAAGCATTGCTTAGACCTGGCCGACTTGAAGTAAGATATTTTTTATGAAACTTTTTGCAATCATATCATAATTACTTGGATTTAGGTACAAATGGAAATAAGTTTACCTGATGAACATGGACGTTATCAAATTTTGAATATCCACACAACACGTATGAAAGAATTTAAAAAAATTGCTGATGATGTAGACATGAAGGTAAATTATCTAAATAGTATATCCTGTTGTTGATATTAATTTCTGGTCTATAAAATCTATATACAATTTATGTGTCTTAATTGTTTAGGAACTTTCAGTACGAACTAAAAACTTCAGTGGTGCTGAGTTGGAAGGTTTAGTTCGTGCTGCACAATCAACAGCCATGAATCGTTTGATAAAAGCCAACAATAAGGTAGAAGTTGATCCTGATGCTTCTGAAAAACTTCAAGTGTGCAAAGATGATTTTTTACATGCATTAGAACATGATATAAAACCCGCATTTGGTGCTAGCGCAGAGGCTTTGGAACACTTCTTAGCTCGTGGCATTATAATTTGGGGCCCATCTGTCAGTGGAATTTTAGAAGATGGAACATTGCTCACACAGCAAGCTCGTGTAGCTGATACATTTGGTCTTGTTTCTGTACTCATTGAAGGACCTCCAAATTCAGGAAAAACTGCTCTGGCTGCAAAGTTAGCAAAAGATTCAGATTTTCCCTTTGTTAAAGTGTGTTCACCAGAAGACATGGTTGGCTTCACTGAAACAGCCAAATGCTTACAAATCAGAAAAGTATATTCCCTACAAATATCCTAATAAAAATAACAATAAACGCTCAAAATCACCTAAAAATTTAAAACCTATCTAAACTTTATCTGTAGTATGAAAAATAAAACATAAAATTGACATAATTTTTATTCAATTTTATCTATAATCACGAACAGATATTATAGGCTAATAGTCATTTATAAATTATTTTATATTCATATATTATTTACTCTACATAAATGTGTGTTGTCTTTGACTGATTCAGCATTTATAATAGAATATATTTAGGTATTATCAAATTAATTTGTATAATTTATAAAATTAATCATACATTCATGTATGTCCTACCTAACCTATATACAAACTAAGAATTTATTACATATATATATACATATACAATTATTGATAACTACAAATCAAACTTTAATAATGATTATCCTCATTTTACACAGTACTAAATAAATATTTTTATAAAAAATCATGGTGTTTTTTACATATTTATGCGTAATTTAAGTTTAAGTTGTGAATTTTAAATTAATTTACTATTTAGTAAAACTTTAAGATATATAAACTACTTAAAAA